TATTAGGTACGTTACTTACTTAACTTACTTACTTAGGTTACTTAGGCGACCCGTTCTTCAGCACGGCGGTTGACCTTGCGCGGGTCCCAACTTCTTTTCCATTGATCTCTGTCTTGAGCCTTGCTTGTCCAGTGCGCCAGAGGATCTTGTCACGCGGGTACCATCGTGTGGTCGCGGAACTCCATCTTCCGTCATTTCTCCTCATCACGTGACCGGCAAATCGATGCTTTGCTTCGTCAACATGGAGTACAATGTCTTTGATCTTCGATATGGCTCTGACGTCTGAGTTGTGAAGTTTTAATTCTCGTTGACGACTTAACGTCAGGCCTACTAAGCGGCGCTCAATCGATGCCTGGATAACTTTCAACCGTTTTTCGTGCGCTTTCGTTAGGGCCCAAGTTTCTCCCGCGTAGCTGAGGGCAGCACACTGTTGTATTGAAGAGGTCTGCACGGAGTTTGTGACTCTTTGTATCTTCTACGACGCTCTTTATAGAGTTGAATGCTGCCCATCCAGCCTTGCAGCGTCTCGCTAACTCTCCACTTAAATCATTCCTCATGTTCAGCTGGCTGCCGAGGTATACGTATTCCTCAACGGTTCCGGGTTGGTGGGGTGGTGTAGTTCCCTTTCAGCATTACCGGTTGCGCCTCCCAGCGAATAGCATGTTTTTCGCATGGACTTTCGTTTTTGAGGTTTCATTTTAAACCGTACGGATTTCCTTGCTGGTCCAGACGATTTAGCATCTCCGAAGCTTCCTCTGGCGAGCTGGTAATCAGGACAACATCATCAGCGAATCGCAGATGGTTCAGAAGAATACCGTCGATGTTCCATCCAAAGTTGCTCCAATCGCAGCGGCGTATAACGGATTCTAAACATGCGGAGAACAGGTTGGGTGAGATTACCAGCTCGCCAGAGGAAGCTATTAGGTAGTACTGTCGAGAATAGACAATGTATGACCAAAAATAGACATAAATGTCGTGTCTATGTCCTTGTCCTTGTCTACGTGGAATCCGATGCCTCAATCGAAAGGGCTATATGCACTCCGGAAAAATGCCTCGCGCGCGGCGAAGCGGGTAAATTTCACCGTTTCTTTGCCACGTCTCCCTGAATTGTATGGGTGAAATTCACTGCGCGCAGCAGCACTGGTGCGTTGGCTGCAAAGAGTCATAGCCAGTGGGACAAGGACCTTAAAGGTTGGTGGTAATGAGTGATAGCAACTGATAGAGGCTGGCAAAGGGCCTTTAGAAAGCGGTGTTACCACTATAAATAGGGCGGTTCTCAGTAGCACTGGCATGTTAGCTCCAAGAACAGAAAGTAGCGGCAACTGATGGGATATATATATAATAATTACAAGCATCAGAAATGAAATGAGCATGAGAGGCACGCCCCGCGTTCATTTGATGCAGGATATGCCTTTAATGCTTTTAAGACGCCTTCTTTAGACATGGTAGTCCTTGTTGGCAAGCTCGGAGGATGTACTTCTATCGCAGCTCAAAAAATGAGTGAGGAAAGCACCGCCCGCTCGCGACAGAACAACGGCTCCTCCCAGTGGCCACGACCCACAGCTTTCATTTTCACCGCTACCTGAGGAGTAGGATGTTCCCGCCTTGCCCTAATCTCTACAATTCAAATGGGACATGAGTAAACAGGAAGAGATAATACCAGACGAATTTTGGAACTGGTCGACTAACCGCTCTTTGTTCACTTTATAGCCGCGCCACAACGCGATTCAGGGTGGCGTTCTTTATGAAGGCATTTGCCTTTTACCCACAGCTACGGTCAGTCCGCCACGTCTCCCTTTACGAATCCGAATGCCTGAATAGAGCCACTTTCCACGAAAAGGTTCTAGTCCAGCTCCAGAGCATGAGTACCGAGCTCATGACAGCATTGATCTGTGCGAAGATGTCGGTGTGAGTACGAGGACCCCCCCCCCGCCCCCCCTTCGAATGGTCCAGCAGGCACGATCCCTCCCCCCTCCACCTCCACGGCTTTTTCGCCGACGACGAGCAATACGAGCAATGAGTATAGAGTCGGCGAAAAAGTTGTTCGAGCGGAGGGGGGATATATATAACTATGCAACATATGTGAACGAGTCCCACGGTCCCAATGGCGTACAGAATGCATAGTGCATATAAAACAGAAACAATTAAAAAAATTAGTACGAACCCCTTTTTCCACAACGAACAAAATCAACTAATCAAACACAAATTTGCTTGACAAATACGACCCCCCCTGACAGGGCAAAAGTACGGACCCCCCCCCCTGGGTTGTCCACACGGCTGTACCCTGACCGAGCTCTGCTGGTCATTGTTAGGCAGTGATGCATTCAACCTCTTCTATGACTTTGGATTGAAATTGGCTGCATAGCCGTCCGCGCGTATGTGTATCAGTATCAGACATTTTCTCCAGTACCTTAATCATTTAAAATCAGATGTCAACTTTTCTTTTCTTTTCTGAACGAATTGTTTTGGAGAGCATGTTCTGCCGAGTACTTCCGTTAGAAACCGGGTTCGTTTTCTCATACAATCAATTCCCTTTAGATGAAACTATTTCAGCAATTTCTCCAACATGCCTTTTATGTTGAAGGCCAATCCTATGTGTCAGCCCATAAGAGTTTATCGGAACCAATCTGTGAAACAGCCCAGGAGAGGTACCGGTCTATTGGCATCTAAGGCATCATTTCCGTCCACTGTCCATGTGACTCAGTTTACGGCTGCTGATCTCCTAAAACTCATGCCCATGACGGCACATTGTAAAAGGAATTCGCGGAATCTACCCTGTTTTACGCATTCCTTCACTTTCCATAGCAATTCATGCGTCATCGTCTTTTTTCGGAAAGTCTGGGAATTCCGCTTTTTTATTTAGAGTTACCTCTAGGTGGAAGTCGATGGTAGCTACCTCTGACCTGTGACCAGTACTCTCGATCTGGATGACCTTCAAATCGGAGCGAGGGCCCGACACAACCGCGCACGGTCTAGGCAGGCAGTTATGTTCGTGCCGCAAGCCGCCAGTGTGCTTCGTTTTGATGGTATGGACCAGAAAGTACCGTGGAATAGGATAACATGACTCAATATTTTCTCCGTGGGACCCGGACTGAAGGTTGAAACAGCCTGGCGTTTACATTGGCCAACTCTGAAGAATATCCTGCGGTCTCACGGGTGTCGTCGCCGCTACCTTTTTGGAAACTTTTACTCTTTACGTCATTCTCGGTGCCACCATGAAATCGAAGACGTTGGAGAAACTCTCGCCTACTTGGAATGGAAGGGGCTGAGTACCTAGGGAAGATGGAATATCCAAGTAGGTCACCTGACCTGAATCCCCTCAATTACCTCGGTTCGGTTCGGACGGAGTCGATAGGGTTGGTCTCGGTGGCAGGAGAAATCGGACTGTCTCCGCTGATCTTAGGCCCACTACCGCTGTCGCGTGCCAGGATTCTCAGATTGGCCTCGTCCAGAAGGTCTGTGGCGGAGTGTCATGATAGTATTTGATATGCTCTTTAATATGGTGTGAAAAATGTCCGATCAGAATTTAATAAAGTGTAACTTATAGCGCCTCGAAAGTCAATGAAGAAAAGTGACTTTTTTTTGCCCCCCCCCTCCCCTGTACAGTCGATGTCGCCGGAACCAGTCGGGGTGGTGTCGGGAGGCGTGAAAGGAGCTCTCTCCCGCGATTTTTACCTGCATTTTTCTTCCTTGTTTCGAACACTGAGCGAACATTAAGTTGTAGGGACAAGGTGGCGTTATTCTCACCCCTTCTAAAACCGCCCCTGACTGATTGAGATGATGTCAACGATAGTAAAACTGCCCTGTCACCGATAAGGGAACGTACATAGCGCGCCGGGGCGCGCGCTGTTGGCTGACAAGTGGCGCGCAGAACCAGCTTCACCACTACGCGGTCCTTCAACAATTTGTCGTGGTCCGGCTCCCGCCCAGGCCAACCGAACCTTCTAACTCTCCCGTTCCCCAGGAACGGGAAATTGCTACTAGATTCGTCTGGGAGGATAAGCACACTGACTCCTACCATCGCGTTTGGAGCCCCGCCAAGTCATCGTGATAGGGCCACATCGATTCAATAGGCCACTACGATTCTGATTAAAGAAGAGTGCGTCCCTAAACTGGGAAATATCAATCGGAAAAGAATTTCCTTTTGGCTAAATATGACTCCCTGAAGTTTGAACTCTTGCCCTGTGCTGTGGGAGCTCGCTACAGTAATGGTAGAATCATTCTCTCATCTTCTGTCTCCTGCTATACTCAGTCACCACCCGATGCTCATCGCCTTCCCTCGGCCTCCTTGTAATGTTCGCTTATCTTCGACAAGGTGCCACCGAGTTCATTTTCACTGGGCTGTGCTTCCCTCTCGCGCTAATGCGGCCAGTTTTTTTTTTCATGAAATCGGATGGGATTATCGGCGTTGTTGTCTGCCATTTAATTCTTCTTTCTTTTCTTTCATTCTTTTTATGGTGTCTCGTCCGCGCATCTGTTGCCCCCAGCTTTTTTACCAGTATTACTCATCGTGTTCAAAATCAGCTGCAGAAAGGCATGATCTGCTTTGGAGCGGTATTTCCCGACGTGTATGCATTTTTTTTGGCGCAGTTTGGCGACGGGGGGCGGGGGCATTTTGTATCTTTCACAGCTTCAATACTTGTGGGTAACAGTCTTCGACCTGTTCGTGAGACTTGTGAACTCTCTGTGAGCTGGCAGCAAAGACTTGTTCAGCCACCATTCGCTAAAACGATGTAGCCTCAAGAAAAGGCTATTCTAGATGGATCGACTCATCGATGGAAAGCAAAGTGTGGAAAGCAAAGTGCCCCCTCCCCGTCGCCGAACTGCGTCCTTTTTTGCTTTTTGTACTTCAGTTAGAATCCTTGCTCTATACTTGACCACTATCGCGACTTCCGATGGCGGAATGTGTTCTTGACAATAGGAAACACGGGCAGGACTAGGAGAAAATATTCATACTGCCCAATAAAATTTACAGATCATTGAGATCGCTTACAAGTTTTTTAACTATTCACACTTTGGAGATGTTTTTCTGGACGAATTTTGTTCGAAGACCGTTGACGTCGGAGACCAGCCAAGCAAAAGTAGGCTTTATGAGAATACATCAGCACTAACGGAAGAAACACTAGAGCATGAACTGTCCCTGAAACAGAAGATGTGTTAGGTCTTTATGAATGAAAACGCGCTATAAAGCGTCCGCTGTCGACTAGTTCGTTTTGGAATGCGCCGTGCGCTCGAAATTAGATCCTCGAGGGTCCATTTTGTGGGAAAGAACGTCTTAGAAAATGCACTTATTCTACCCAGTGAACTCACCAAACGTTATAACTAGTATAACAGTCTTGAAGCACGTCTGTACAACATAACTGTCAACGAAGGAAAGTGATGAGATTCCAAGGAGAACAGACATCGACGCTTGGGTTATTGGCCAACCAACAGTACCGAAGCGTTCCCCGTAGACGAGCGAATGGTGCACTGAAATCAATTATCGATTCATTGACGTGACGATTAGAGCTTTCAAGCGATAGGATGTAAAGCCTACAACGTGGTAAATTCTACCCTCCACCATCGGGTGATGGGATACATCTGTGAAGGTAAAAGTGCTGACTTGTACATCGGCTGGCCCCCGCAAGTCATTGTATAGGCCACATCGCATTCAATAAGCCACTACGATTCTGAATGGAAGTAGAATGCATGTCCGCATCCCAAAAAGGGATCGGTAGCGAATACTTTCATCCATTTTATGATTTGTGAATGCCAGCGTATATTGATAAGAGGTTCACCGGCACCAAAAACCCTATCTTTCCCTTGTAATTTTAACCAATATATGAGCCTACTACTATATGTAGTTGATGCATTGAAAAGAAAATTTGGCGCTGTTTATCGACGGGGGGGGGGCATTTTGTATTATAATTCCCTGGTTCCGGTTTACAAATCTCACTCTGGTAAAACTTGTGAACGCTTGTGAAGCTGGAGCAAGATCGTCTAGCCACCATCCTAAAACGTGTCAACTCGAAAAAAGGGTACCTAGATGGGTTGGCAAATCTTGAAAAGCAAATGTCCCCCCCCTCCCGTTCGATAAACAGTGCCGGAAAACCCTTCACAAGTAGGGATTCAAGCTTTCGGCGGCGGCGGCGATTCCTTGAGGATGCGCCACGCAGTTCGACTGGCTCTCTTATTGAATATTGAAAGAGTTAAGCGCTGTATATCCAATCATCACAAAGACATTCTTGTAAAATGAATTCTGTAATCATATCAGTGCATTACTCAGGCAAACCTAGTGCTGTGAGGTAAATGGCTCGAAAGGCATATGTTGCTAACCACTTGCGGCTGCAAAGGGACACTGAAACCCTCGCTTTCATTTCGATGCCGCCTTTATTTGGAAAAAGCGATGCGAGTGATATGCTTTTATATTTGAAAGCGAAGTACTAAATAACTAAATTTATTACAACTCACTTCTCCGGGTCACCATCTGCGATTTTCTGCGTCATGAATGCGTATGAGACGTGAGCCGCGAAATCTGACAAAAGAATCAGAATCAGTCATTTTGTCACAGAATTTTGTGGGAAATCAAGATAACTTCTTATGTAAATCTGAATTTGACTTGGAAATTTTTGGCGCTGTCCAGCTAAAGTGGAGGGGCGGCAATATTCGCGACCTCGTAATTTCTCATTACTAGTTTATAGTAACAATGCGAAGTGGTATGTACAAGTGAGCCGTGTAGGTTACAGAGTTTTACACGCCTTCATAAGGTACAGGGTTTGTACAAGCTTCGCTGAACACTATTTAGTGCCCTCTCACATGAATTAGAACCAGTCATCACGTGAATGTGCTGAAATGGTGGGGCAACCCTCCTGTCCTCGAGCGATGGTGTCAGTACGACATCCCCCCCCCCTGAAAGAGGGTCTTAGCACGGACCTTCCGCCCCCCTTCCCTAACACCTGCCTACCAGTCCCATTTTTGAGTTTTCCTCCACAAGCTCTCAATGGAGGGGGGGGGTTTTTTAAAGCAATGAAGCAGGAAAAATCACGAAAAAGCCAAAACAAAGCAGCAATTCCTCTCGAAACCACATAGACTCCTCTCTCCAAAACGACCGAATAGCCCGTCCCCAGCGGAAAAGTGCGATCCCTCTATGTGTTTCACACAACGATGCTATACCCTGAGTAAGATTGCGCCAGGATCTCCGACCTTTTTCAATTTTTATGGAATAGATTTTCACTTACTGAGCAGTTTGGTCTTCGTTTATCATGAGTTCCAGACAAGTTACCTACGAACAACTCGATACAGCTGTCAAAAACCACTCACCAACAGAGAATCCAACACTCATTGCTATCGTAATCATCGACGTTGCGTCAAGATTGACACCCAAAAATGGCATGATGCCAAGTACACCAAGCGCCACAGATGCAATGGACATAGCAATCAGTGGTGCGCAGAGCGGTTGTGGGATGAATAGCAGGGCGACGCACACCATGACCGCTAAAGATCGCTCTTGTTACCCAAGCAGAGAGTATGGATTCATCGATTCAAACTCACCAATCGATATATACAAGTCCTGAAGTGTTTGTGGCCACATGATTTCGTATTGGTCGGCAAGGTTCCACAATGGTGTATAGGTGCTCATTTCATACTGTGGGTGATCGTCACATAGTTTCCTAGAATACGTCTGCGCCGTAGTATTGGTTTATCGATCTCTCTTCGGCCTTATTTTTTAGGACCGAAGAGTGGACCGCTCTCTAGAATCTGTTGCTTTCAATGGGGGACGAAAACTTATCGTTAGCACAATGGTGAATTGAAGAAGGGTCATAGGTCAGCATGGAAATCGGAAGAGTTCCGTGACGCGACAACGCTAAGGCAGCGTTCAGACTTTGTGAGGACGCGTTGGTAACGCACTGTAACGCGCGTCGACGCGATGCCATTGCTATCGACGGGAACGCAACAATGGACAATCGGCGCCGGTCGTTACTGCTTTGAGAGAGTATGGGAGAACAGGAGGGTCATAGGAGGGTAGGAGATCCTGAAATGCAGTTTAGTACCTTCCTTTCGCCTATGTCCTCCCAAAACACTAGCGAACAGCGCCGATCGATACTCGCCCATGGCTACGTTCCCATCTATAGCAGTGAAGCGATGCTGCACTGATAGCGTGTCGACACGTCGATGATAATCAGTGCCCCTTAAACCCATCCTTATATGTCCCACTGTATGGCACAGGCGATGTTTTGTTCCCCTTTGACTGATGTTTACAATCAAGTAAGGGGGTTAAAAAGGGTACGACCGATAAAGTGAGGTGTTGAGGGCAGGACAGTCACAGAGTGACTGCGCGACAGAGGCGGTACTCCGGTGAGAACAGATCGAAAGGTATCATTTGCCATGCAAAAAGTGGGCGTGGTTTCTGAGAATGTACCCGAGTCGGAAGGCGAAGGTATGCTGCACCTCATGCTATATACCTGTGGTCCGACGTGGGGCCCTATTTACTGAAAAATAATTTCAATTTAAGGACAAACTGTACAATCACGTCCTTGCCATATGGGAAAAATGGCACTATTCACCCTTTACTGCCCAATCTTCCGAAAAACAGGCCAGTTTTTGACCGACTTTTTTCTGCGTTGGCAGAATTGGCTGAAAATTTGTCTCCTGGGGTAGTTTGACCTCCTGAACATGAATATTACATCCGCTCGGCACGAAACCTCTTGGCGCTCGCGCCACAGCGGCCGGCCCATAAAATACCCTAAATCTGTGTAGTCTGACCTCCTGAACACAGAATATCACATCGGCTTGGCCCGAAACCTAATGGCGTCCGCGCTACAGACGCTGGCGCCAAGATACCCCAAATCACCGGCGCCTATGGCGCGGCGCCAGGAGGTTTCGGGCTAAGCGAATGTGATATTCGTATTCAGGGGTCAAAACCCCAGGAGACAACATTTGAGCCAAATCTGTCCACGGAGAAAAAAGTCGGTCAAAAACTGGCTCAATTCTGGATGGTTGGGGCAGTAAAGGGTAAATAGTGCCGACAC